GACATGAGGGTTACTCCAAGCCTCGGGCAGAGTCAGAGTGTATGACGGCATCATCCTGTCTCAGTAATCTCTGGCACTGGGCCAACTTTTAACACAGGCACATATGGACCCAGGGATCCACATCTATGTATAGCCAGCTAGATGATAGGGGAGGAAAAATTGGCTTATAGTGTGCGGATGCTGCACACTAAAGCTTTCTTGAAAACAGTTTCAGAGGCATTTTGGAGTTGAGGTTATGTCTAACAAAAGGAAGAGCAACAGTCAAGGAAACCAAGAAATCAAGTATCCAGCTTAAAAGAGTGCTCACAGTGCAAGAAAAGTGACATTTGTCACCTTGTTTTCTCAAGTGTACAAAAGCAAATGTCAGCTTAAGGTAGCCGTGAGTGTGCTAACCTTACATACCTAGTGTGGACTTGGGAACATGATGCAGGAAAGGAAGACGTTCTGTGGACTTACACATGTCCACAGGACGTTTCCCCTTCTCTGAAAAAGAAGTTCAGAGGCATTTTTGGGTCGCGGTCATCTGTCGTAAAAGGAAGAGGAATAGTCAAGGAAGCCTTGTACCAAAAACCAGCTGAGTTTTCTTGACGTCACGAAAAGAAAGGAAAGTCCACACTAGGTATGTAGGGAAGTAGGGGTGTGTGAGTTTGTTTCTGCATTCAGTTGGGGACCTTGAACAATAGAGGACAATAAGGTCCCTGATTGACAGAGGGTCCACGATTGACAACTGTGTACAAAACATATGGGTGGTCCTGTAAAAAAGNTAGGGGGTCCCCCAGTTGCAGGCAAATACACACTTGGGTGTGTTTGTGTTTATACCAAATAAAACCAAACTAAGTTGGAGCCTTCGTTGATAACTTTTGTGAACTTCATACTGCTGTCCATGTGACGGATGTTGGCATGTCCAGCTGAAGAACCAGAGTTTATTAGAAGTTTTTTTTTTTTTTTTTTCCTCGGCCTCCAGGCATCGCATGCGAGGGGAGATGACCCTCTGGAACCCGGGATGTGACCACGCCGGCATCGCCACGCAGGTCGTCGTCGAGAAGAAACTGTGGAGGGAGAAGAAGCTATCCAGGCACGACCTCGGGAGGGATAAGTTCGTGGAGGAAGTCTGGAAGTGGAAGAACGAGTAAGGAGTCAGCATTCTCATGTACACGTTTCTAGTGACAGTGTCACCCTTATCTTCCTTCTCTGCCAACCCGCTTGCGTTTTTGTCTTGCATTTAATCTTGTGCACATCCCATTTGATTCCATGCATTCCAAGGGTTGATGAGTGTGAATAAGGTCGTGTATCCTTCTTATATTTAAGTTAAGCAGTACAAAAGTATTTCGTAGGGTATCGTGTCTAAATATATATTGAGAAAGTTCAGGATAATTTTTCCGTAAGGGTAGATCTGGGTCATTCCATGAGGTTGGAGCACGGTGTCAATTGTTACATGGGTTCCGTAAAAATGAACAGCTGTTTCCCTGCATGTGGATTCCAGATTGACATTGTTATACATGTACATATTGCAAGGCTGAATACAGAGGTGCTTGTTATTTTTACAGAGTTAAATGACCTACTCTACAGGTCATGACACACGGTAACAGTTACCCATGTAACAAGGACACCATCACAAATTGTGCCCCAACCTCATGGAATGGCCCATCTTTAAAATCCTTTACGCACAGTTATCTGTACTTTACATGTACTTCACTCTAATTCTGATTTGAAGTAATTCCTATAAGAGTCAATTAGTTATTGAAACTCGAAGATCATTCTGATCAGGGTCAATTACATGTATACATGTGCAACTAAGTCCGTACAAAGGTTTCACATCGAAAGTTAGAATTTAAGACCTAATTTACCAAACAAGTTAAAGTGAAAATTACTTTTGTGCAATCCGGGCCATATGAGTTGGTGCAGATGTTGCATTGGTTGGAAGGAACAAAAAACACCTTCCTTTTGTGAGACCTTTTGTGCTGCTGTGTTTTTCTGTGGTAAAAAAAGCTGGTTGCCCAAAATAATCAGTGTATTTTTTCCCCTGTTTTCCTCCAGGAAAGGTGACCGCATCTACAACCAGATTCGTCTGATGGGCTCCTCCGTGGACTGGGACCGTGCCTGCTTCACCATGGACCCCAAGCTGGCCAACGCCGTGCAGGAGGCCTTCATACGCATGCACCAGGATGGCACCATCTACCGCAGCAACCGACTGGTCAACTGGTCGTGCACGCTCAAGAGCGCCATCTCTGATATTGAGGTACGGTTTGCAGATGTCGCATGATAAGGGGATTCAGTCGGGTGCTTTCCCCCACCGTTGGCTTCTGCGGCTTTGGGTCCGATTCCCACTACGGCCACCTTGTGGATTGGGTTCCATACCCTACCTGAATTCAGTGTTGCCAAGACCACCAGGAGACTAGACGTGTAAGACCATGAGGCTAGTCACAAACCAGACACAAAGTCAGTCATGAGACTAGTCTCAAGACCAGTCACAAGTAGCCAAATTTGTAACTGGGTAAATAATGACAAAGGTGTTTGCAACGCATTTGAATAGCTTGTGACTTGGAGGTATTGCAATGAGGTTGACCTCTGCAACATTGAAGCCCGTTGTTGCATTTCACCACAGTGTTTGCAAGGCTAGAAAGCTCACAGTGCCATTTTCATTTTTCTTGCCTTCAAATACTGTCTAGGCAATAAGTTGCATCTAAAGCCAACGTTCGAGGAATGACTCTTTCACCCTAATTACCCCAAACCTGCTATACTCCAACAGCAGGTTTTGTGAGGTTTTGGCAGGTTTGGTACCGTACCTGAGGAACTTGTTGAATTTGTTTTTGTGTTGGATTCTGTGTGAGTTGGGACACACAGGGTTCATTGTCTGCAGTGTCTGGCTTGCTGTACCAATTGTTGGACTATGCTTCGTTTTGTCAGGTTTGATAGTGTTCAGTGCAAGTCATCCTATACTGCATAGACCAATCCATACCATATCACTCAAACTCCAACGGGCTCATTCTGTTGGAGTTTATCAGGTTTGGTACAGTGACCTGCATGTTCAAGTACATAGACAGGTACGAGTACCTGTTGGATAGTGTGCCTTTTAGTGGAGGAGCCTGGGGGTTAGGGTTGTGCTTTCTAGTGCAGGAGCC